GGGCATCATTTCAGAGACAGCACTACAGAGAGGATTAAAATGAGAATCCTGACTCCCAATGAAATTTAACTTCAGTCCCCAAATTTCAAGCGTCGCAAACAGTGAGACATTGAAAACAGTTCACAGCCATTATCTTTGCTGCCTTCCCATTTGTCTACTGTCTTTTCTTTGGACGCCTAAACTGATTTTCAAATGCTCAACTAACACTTTATTACTTCAGTGCTAGAAATTTACAGTAGCATGGATGACAAAGCCACGGTCTCATCCTCCCTCTCCCTTTTCCACTAGGCTTATTTGCAATCTTAATATAATTTAGGGGTAAACGAATGTTCCCAACAACAGGTTAGTGTTGCCGACCATTATGGGTCATACTTTTGGCTGGCTTGTTCCTCAATGAGCAAAAAGCTCCCATCAGGTTTTTATAAAGACCTATTCCTGGTGGAGACAAGAGTTTCTAAAGCTGGTTTCTTTACAGGATTCAATACAACTACCAGCAATTTTGGACTCTCTTGGACTTATTGAAATGCTGAGCGGTATGATGAACGGTTATATTTCAAACCATTTACTGCATCTCTGTGCAAATGTTTAAATACAAGCTGATAGTTATTATCTCTTTAATATTGCTCAACAGGGATCACAGTTTAAGAGTTCTTCCCCCATCCACAGTGCCTTTCAAATGCCAGTTTCAAAACTGAGATTTTTCCAAACATTGAAAAACAATTCTGAGACTTTTTTTAAAACTGATTTTGAATTGATGCTGAATTTTCTTTCAGGTTGACCATCACCAACTTTTATATATGGCCACAAGATGGTGCTGCATGACCAACACTGGGCCATTTGATGCAGCTACACTGCAGAATTAGTGCAGTTTGATACCACTTTAACAGCTATGGTTCAATGCTATGAAATCCTAGGATTTGCAGTTTGCTGTGGCACCAGAACTCTCTGACAGAGAATGCATCTGAAGAAGTAGACTGAAGCTTACGAAAGCTCATGTTGCCAATTTCTTTCTTTCAGTTAGTCTCAAAGGTGCTACAAGAGCTCTCTACGTACTGACAGAGAAGGTTAGCTATCTCACAAAACTACAAATCCCAGGATTCCATAGCATTGAACCATGGCAGTTAAAGCCATGACAAATTGCATCAATTCTGCAGTGTAGATGAAGCCGATGATGGATACTGAGACTTGTAGTCCAACACCTGGAGGGCCATGTCTTCCCTATACTACCTTTTCCAAGGGAGATGCACAGAGACCCAGCAGCTCCAAACATTTGTCACTACTCATTTTATTGAGTCATCCCAAATATTATTTACATTGAGAAAACCACTGATACAGTGCTGTCTTCAAACCCACTCTGACCCCCATTATGGAGAAAGGCGGGATATAAATCCTATAAATAAATAAATAAATAAATAAATCATGGGTATGTTATTCTGAACCCCTGCTATGTCTTTGTTTTAGAGACAAAGGAGCTTATTGCATTACCTTTTTAACTTGAAATCAATCTACTGGAATGCAGCCAGGATGTGGCGTGGAGGCGTGAATTATTGCATTATAATTTGCCACTGAATCACTGAGTGACTGCAGCCCAGGTCCCAGCCGGCCCTTTTTCAAAAACAAAAATCTCCTGAGGTTTAATGGCGGCTGGCTGAATGCCGCTGGGACCCAGGCTGCAGTCGATCGATCCGTGATTCGGCGGCGAATTACAATGCAATAATTCTCCCCTCCATGCTGCATCCTGGCTGCATCCTATAACGCTGATTTCAAATTAAAAGGTAATGCGATAAGCTCCAAATACAATTTTGTCAACTTGAGCTCATCCAAAAGATTACTGTGATCCTGTTTTGTTTTGTTTTTAAACACAAATTCATCTATAAAACAACCTAGACACCTTAAATAACCCTATCCTTTTTCATATTGCATAGTTACAGTACTCTTATATTGCTTTAATTGTTTTGGCTGCATCCTATAGAATCCTGGGATTTGTAGTTGACTAGAGCTCTCTGTCCAAGAATTCTAAATACTCCACAAAGCTACAACTCCCAGGATTCCACAGGGGGAGCCATACCAGTTAAAGTGGAATCATAGTGCTATAACTGTGTAGTGTGAAAAAGTCCAGTATCATCAGTAAACAGATTAAGGATAATAACACTGTGCTTGTTGTGTGCCTTTAAGTCATTTCTGACTTATGGTGACCTTAAGGTGAATCTATCACAGGAAAGATTTGTTCA